ATGATCTACACGATTTTGTAAATATTACCGATTATTTGACGCGAAAGTGTTTGAAACAAAATTTAATTAGTATTCGGTCGGCTATAAATTTCAGTGTATAAGCTTTTCGATCAAGCTATTTTTTCATAAATAGTCAAGGCCATATTTCTCAATCGAAGGACATTGTAAGGTCATAGTATAGTATGCCGTTGAACTCGGCTGTTAACTATTTACAACGTAATAAGGTTAAAATCAAATAGTACCATTTGAAAAAGTCAAGATAACCCTTACTTCTTATAAGAAGAAATTTGTTTGAACATTTTTCACATTGGTAGTCGATTAAATGCTAATTAATTTTTGTTTCAAACATTCTTTTTTGTCAAATTATCGAAAATGTTTGAAAAATCGTGCAAGCTATTAAACGATGAACACACTATATGTTACTACGTTACAATTCTTCGATTTGAAAAGTCTTCAAGTCTACAATTATCATGATTAAAATTGTAATTTACAATATTGGACACGTAAACGAGTACGAGGAATAATTTTTTTGACAAAGCACTATACCAAGATAGAGCAATTTTTTATTAAAATTATAGGTGTCATCGAAATTCTTTCGTATAAATATATAAACAAATGCGATGCATATTTGTTATAAGTAGAAACCATATTAAAGATTAATGAATTTTTATAAACAATTATAAATTCAATAAAAGTTTTCTGAATTTTTAGATTTTGTGGAAAGTTTTCTCTAGAATGAATTGTTAGTAATTAATTTACTATTGAAACAAACTTATGGTATGTATATTCTTGTATAATGGTTTTCGGTTGGATAACTGTGTCTTTCTTAATTTTTTTCTGAAAAATTATTAATTATAGCTTCACCAAACAATGTTTGTTTATTTATACGTATTTCGATGGAACGTATGTTTTTTTATCGCAAATAAACATTAGTTTATTGAAAAATGAAAAAATATGTTGTTCGTAGTGGAGTGTTGAAAAAAATGCTCTGTCCCGCTATTCTTGATATTTCTTTTTGACAAATTCAATTTATGCGAATTAAACAAATGACATTGCTTTGTATTCTGTTTGAGTATAGCTACGATCAGGATTATAATGAGAAAAAAATAATAATAATTGTTGAAACGAAACTTACAACAAAGAATAGTAACATTCTGCACAAAAAAAATGGAACACTTTTAAAAAATAGAAAGAGATTTTTATTTAAAACTTTAGTTTTAAAGAAGATAAGTGAATATATGAATACAAAACATTTCAGCCATATTTCCGTACGAATGGAGTAGGTGCATGAATTCTTTCGTGTTCATATGAAATTACATTACTATTCCCATAACTTCATGACTTTTTCGATTTTCAATCGACAAATTGAGAGATTTAAAATTGTATCCGCATAACATTTTATGCAGATTCGAATGATAAGGAATTGATTTTTTAAAATGTCTAGAGTAGGAGACTCTGCCGCACTGGCCACGGAAATAGTAGATCGCATTTTGAATTTTTGGGTTTGGTTCTTTGCTTGTCGACGGGAATCGATTCCGTTCCCGGATGGACGATTATTTGGAGAAACTCCAGGCGAATTGAGAGGGTTTCGAAGAGTGCAATTTGAGGAACTGAAATGCTCGACCATATGGGGCTCTGTGTATTTGTGTGGTTCGTCGTCGGAAATACTGATTTCTTCTTTACAAGTTTTCAGTGATCGATAGTGTGAATACATTATCCCGTTAGAACGTAATTGACCAACTAATATTACGTCTAAATTAGTGGTTACTGCCGATATTGATACTTGGTTGCCTCTTTTAAGGTCTAAATCGTTACGTGGATAGAAGTGTTAAAAGATGGACGTCGAAAAATAGACGGAAATAAAACACGTATGGAAGTTACTATTTGAAGAACAGTAAGTAAGCACAAATCAGCGACGTTCTTGACATAGTATTGAGTCATTTCATAAGTAATAAAATCTCTAATTTTATAACGAATTAGCGACAAAACTTGAATGCAAAACTTTTCTTTTTATGTTCCACTATAAACTTTAAAAGTTGCAATAAAGTAGAAGTGATGCAATGAAAAATTTCTTCTTTCGAGGTTCGCGGTGAATATGTTGTAATCACTAGTGTCATCGACTTTTAATTGATAACAACTTTAATGAATCCCCTGTGATTAATTTCCTGTTGCATAATGCGAACAATCAAACATTTCAATGATAAAAGGAAACACTGTAAACGTTGCTGAGAATACATACTTTATGATAATTTAGGATGATTTTTCAAATAATGGTGTACGGTTTGTTTATTAATTAATCGATAAACATACAAATAACTAAGCAATAACTTCCTTTTAATTTTCAATAGACTAAAACTCATACAACATAAATTTGCAAACTGTTAAAATATCGTACCACGCAAAGAAATGTGAAAAAATCACGAGCCATAACAATATGTTCAATTTGAAGTCTGTGCAGTCAACGAAGAGTTTATACTCAAAGAATAAAGAAGAATCAATAATATTGCCTTAAAAATGTATAAAACGATGGCATGAAATTTATTTTCGAACCATCTGGGGTATCATAATGTATCATAATTTAAGAAACTTTGCTGAAGGGTTCAAATCGTCAAGAAATAAATAGCAAAATTCGTTCGACAAGGAACGCGTGAGTTACTCGAAAACTGGAACACGTTCATCCAAAATGCATTCAAAAGTAATCGCAGCCATCGATCCTCGTACCATTTAATTGAAACTGTTCGACTTGAAACGTGTTTTATTTCCAAACGTCTCGTAAAGTTCCATTTAAAGCAGAAAAAGGTGGAGATTGCATCTTGTTGCATCGACGCACTTTGGTAAAAAATTTGCTGACATGGAGTCAGAATTCCTGGAATCATTGAACTTTTTCCTCTACCATATTTTTCGGCGCAACATTTTCGAGGCGTCGAGTGTGAATTTCGGGATGAATTCATCCCTTGTTTTTCAAGGATGACCGAGCTTCCTCGGTGATCGAGTGACATTTAGCCGAATAACCAGGATCTATATTCGCATTTGGTCGTGCATTCTGCCGTTACCTAAATCATTCACGTGTTCCTGCATTCGAATCGTCGAGTTTTCGGCTCTTCGCTGCATTTATTTCGGCTATATGTCGATTCTTTGATCATGATTGAGGCGACACGACGGCCGGCACGGAAATTCTCTTTCGGTCTGGGTTAGAAATGGTTTTTAATTTGCAGCGGTAGCAGTTCCCGGAGCATCGGAAAATTCTTCGCCGGGATACGTTCGAAAGTTGTGAGGAAATATGGGTTCGATGAAAATGGAAATGCTCTTGTCGTACTTCTATCATAGCTGAAGTTTTCATATTTGCTTTCCTCAAGAGAACACGCATGATTTACTAACGTTTCTATTTTCGATTTAAGACTTTTGCTGAATTCCTTTCGAAAGAGATTTGTATCGACAGTAACACGGTTTATAGTACAAGCGTATATAAAGTGCATGCTTATGAGAATATGAAGTTTTGGACGGCACGATTTTTCAGTCAATGTTCATTCGGCTCGCGTTCGGAAAATTCAATGAAAAATAAAGTAGCTCTAGCGAGTTTCACATAATATGTTTTTCATTTTAACCTTCTCAAATTACAAATGCAGTCCTCTTCGGTTTAATCTAAAATTAATAAAATGATAGAATAGACAATTTCTTGTTCGGGATTCGAGGAATGCTAGCAATATTCATTACCAACATTATAGCTACATGTACTGGTTCTTTCGACAAAAATTAATATACATAATTTGTACATATAAAACAGTTTGTACAATACTATTATGGGGAAACATGAAATAATAAAGTTAAATTTTGAATTAAATGGCACATATCTTTATATTTATCATTATACATTATTTAATTTTTCGTTTGTAAGAAAATGAGAATGAAAATTAATGCACTACTTTATTATACTTACTTAAGATACATATAGTTTAGATAATCATTATACAGTAATTAAAAGAATTTAAAAAATTTGAATTAATGAAATAATAATAAGAATAATAAGAATAAAATCGTAAATTTATATGTATAATTACAAATATGAAAATATATACACATACTGCTTTGAAATTTGAAAATAATTATTGTATATACTATTATTAGAAGGAAACAGCAGACAATATAGGTCATTATAATAATATACACTACTTAATTGAATATATATAACAAAGATATCTTTGTATTTATCTACATTGTTTAGTGTCTCCTCACAATGGTGTTTTATTTTGTTTACATATCACGTTAATATTATAGATAACAGGTGTCTATTTTGAGTTTGTCTGAAATATTGAGGAGAATTATTTAATTTTTGTTTTCCATACATAAAAAGTATTATCGCATATATTTCCTTGTATAAAAGTTCAATTCTATAGTCATTCGATGGATAAGACCAATTATGAAACGGAATCCAACGTGAGAATAATCATTGTATATACCTTTATTGATAATTTGTGTTTTTAATTGTTCTGAATTCTATTGTTGCATGAAGTCTGCATATATAGTTTCAAAAATCTGATATTTTGAGCGACGTCTATGATCCAAGATGTAATTTCATTGAAGCATTCTTCAACCTTTTGTTGTTAATTTCTTTTTTTCATATTATACATTGATTTATAAATAAAAATCTATTTTAGTCTGCACTGAAAATGATTATCTATAGTGCCGAAGAATATTCGTTACTGAAAAATGTTATAATGCGATATATATATATTATGTTAAGCTCGCTAAGCGATTCTTTTTCTGATTTTATCTGAATTTCCTAAGAAATATTTAAAATGCTCAGACAGAAGTTAAATTAACGTTGACACGAAATAATGTGCAAAGCGAATTTAATAGGAGTTAAAATATAATTTAGCATATCGTATTTCGCGACGAGAATTTTACTTTATCATTACGTTTGCACGATATACATATGGGCATTACATTTTTAAAACACTTTGATCGTTCTTAAGTTTACGGTTCGTTGAATGGTGTTACAGCAATGCCGATGGAACCAGTGGGTTTTCCACAAATGGGTGTTGGACTTCAAGGTGGCCTTCAATTAGTCAGGGATCCGACGACAGGTCATCTTCTTCTCATCCACGCTGCAGGTTGGTATCGAAAATCATGCATAAGGTATAGTTTGACTGACCATGATAGAATTTCAAAAATTTAAATTAATGGATTAGACTAATAAAATCAATTGCAATAAAAATAGATGAGCGAGCACAGTTTTTATTATTTTGTTTCAATCTTCCGACCATTAATTAGCTGCGGTCTTCTGCAGTAGTATATGTAATTGTTTTTCTGCATCAAATTAAAAGAAATATAATTCCACGTAATAATAGAATAGCAGGAAACAATTGAGAGAGATTCCGTACAGATGACAAAATTGAGTGTATTAAAAGTAAAAGTATAATAAAGATATTAAAAGATTTGACATGTGCGAAAAGTAAAAACTTGCGCATTTTATAATAACGTAAATAGCAATGCGATAACAATAGTAATAGGAATGAAAATATAATTTTAATTGTAAATTATAAATTACAATTAGCTTATTTATTATATTTATGATGAAAACTATAATTGTAGATAGTAAAGTTTCATTGTATTATACAGTAATAAGAATCACAATTTTCTACCGACAGAACAAATGCAGCAGGCTGTAGTGTGGCCAAATTACTCGAATCATAATAATGGAAACGTCGCGCCGCCACCTCTTCTGCTTCCGCCGCCGCCACCGTCTCTTCAGCTTCTGGGCGACATCGGTGGAGCAAGGTTGGTCCTCACTGAAAGCAAAAGAAAGCAACAGAGCACTCTGCCTATTGTCAAGATAGAGGCTGACTGTGGCAACAGCCCCGCCACTATAATCAGTAAGTACTATATTTATGCCTTCCTGTTTTATAAACGAACTAGATACTTAGCCAATTAGGCACTTGAGATAAAAATAAATCATCAAAAATTATACGCTAACCAAGATAGGAAGATAGTTCCGTAATTTACATTGTGCGCCTAAAATGACTTATTCTGATGTGGACATTTAACCCTTTGTACTCTGCGCCCTCTCGTTGCAAAATGTGCGAACAGGAATCGCACTACATTAAATAGTCTAACTTTGAAAATCTGTCTTTTTTTGTATTATTAGACTTGATTTTAATCTACGTTGAGTTTTGTCATATAAAGTGAATTTGTGCGATTGTTCTTAAAATTTGTGTTTCTGGAAGTAGAAAATTCTTCCAAGACATATTTAACTGTTTCATTGGTAAATATATTTTACATTAAAGCGTCGACAGTCCACATTTCTGTTAATTCATTTGTATAATATTTCAATGAATCGTAAAGGGACTTGCTATAACTGCATGTAAATTCTAAAATTCCACGAAAATGTGACAATAAAAATTTAACTATAACTATAACCATTAAAAAACATGCAAATTGTGAACTTATATTATCTTTAACTAATTCAGGGGTTCCTTTTATCATACCTTTTAATTTATATTCTCTTTTAATTTTGAGATTATCTTAACTTTCTATATTTTTCATCGTATTAACAAACCGTGACTAGATTACCTTCTTTTAACAAATTTCATATTTGTTCGTGACATGTTAAGTTATCAATCTATAGACTAACAAATTTAAAAAAACTAAATTCATCCTTAGAAATTATATTTCTATATTCTATAATATTGAAATACTTCTTGCACTAATACAATACAATACCAAAAGTATGTTCTACTTAAAAAAAAAAAAAAAAAAAAAAGCCCTTGTAATCTTGAATTATAATTCGTGTTCTCTTTTATCAATCTTTACTAAACAATTACGTTAATTTACAATACATGCAGTAGTAAATTATTTTTAATTTTACTTTTTGTACGAAATTATTTTGAAAATGAAATATTTATTATTGTTTTTATAAAAAACCTCAATTCAGCATAAAAATCTATATTATTCGTATTCTACTTTAAGTAACCTTAAATCTAATTAATTTTATTTATTAAAACATTAAACCTTCCATTTAGCGCGCATTTAGTGAGCATCTGTTGCTAACGATCACTTACAAAAGCATAATCAAATACACCAGTCTGCTGAATTCGTCATTTCATGTGCAACAACGTAATACTACACTCGAGACAGAATAAATTGCCCCTATCAACGTCATAGTGTGGCTGTCACAACGATACTGTTCGGCTACCCTGTCGCTTGCATCATCATCCCTTCATTGCCTCGAAGGAGTGAAAGAGAAGAGACCCGGGACATATGTCTCTGACGTGTATGTATGCCACAAGAGCCCGGGTACGTGACGAAACTGTAAAAGCTGTAGTCGTATCTGGCATGATTCATAGTTGAGGAAATGAGCTTGATCAGATAATTTTTCTGTTAACATTTGGCTAAGAGGGATGATAATACCTGGAACCTGGGTATTGGATAAAAATATCGATAAAATTCTGTCTTATATTTTTGAAGAATTTAATTAAAGGTTTTCCAAAAAGGGCTTTAGAACTTTGTGTTTTAAGAAAAACAACTGGTATGCAATATATTCGATTTGTATAATTTATTTACTATATCTGTATGTATTTATATTAGTATGTGCACCACGACTACGTTGACGGATGTATTTTGTTATTAAAAACCAATATTCTAAAGCTCCTTATTGGAATACACATTATTTAAAAATATCAAGAAGTATAGACAATTTATGATTTATTGTTCAGTAATGCACCATCAGAAACCTATATAGTTCCTTAATGAATCAAAAAATGAAAAAAGTATTGGCTCAGATATCGAAAGATTGGAAATCAGAATTCTCTAGAGTTACAGTTATAATTTATAAAAGTGTTAAAATAAATAAATACATTTCTTGAATTATTCATAGAATAACATATATGTTTATATTTATGGTTTAAAATTTTCTAATTTCCAAGTGTTTACCTATAATTTGTGGGTCTTCTTCAGAATTAAATTGTATAACGTGAAGATACACAGAGTATAGTTAAATTGTAATAATAACAATAATCTAATACTTAATGAATTTGTACATGGGATTGTCTGATATAATGTTTATCATCCATCGTGACTTTTCCTCATCTTTTTAATAATTTTGTTACAAAAACGATAAATTTTATTGTAAAAATTGATACTTAAATTTCTATTCAAAAATAGAATTTTCCCCCGGTTTTGGAATTTCTTTTTGCACTTCAGAATCTTAATTTATCAGTTTAATGTCTGCAGAACATAGCTCTACTTTCAACAAAGTATAAAACGTTTTATTATCGCAGTCTGTAATGTAGGTGCTTAGTATCCATAATACTAACGCGATAAAATTCTTATGACTCCGTTACTTTTATAAATTTTAATAAAATCTTTTAGGAGTATATTCTCAAGACTTTAAGTAGTAAGAAAAGGCGAAAATCAATATCTCGAAACTGATAGCTGAATTAGGATACATCCTTAGCATTGTTTTTAACAGCAGACTTGCTTTTATTTAGTTCATTTAAAGGATTTCTCATTTTACGAAGAAAAAGGAGTTGTTGAAATAAATAATTTGACATTACTACGTTAGATGAAATTATTTTTCTGGAAAATCAATTTTTTATCGTTAATGAAGATAGATTGATTTGGTTAAAAACCCTCTTACATGTAAACAGGAAACAGGTCAGAATTTTAGAATTTTAGAATTGAAAAATATACAATATTCATTCTTATATATTAATATGAGACAATATATTTTTATGTCAAGATCTATATATATAAATAAAGATTGTTTTTGTTTGTGTGTATTCGATTAAAGTAAAACCAAACCTATTTTAAATTTGCCTCTCAAGTTGCTACATTCGTTACATAATGATAAATGTATGGAATGTGTTTACGTTGCACTATATTCTGTTACGGATGGAGGGTTTCTAAATAGGAATTCGTACAATATAGGAACAATATTAAGCCATAAACAATAAAAAAAATTAGTAATCAAGATGCCAAGACTTGTAAATGCAGTTAAAATGGTGAATATGTAGATGTAACAAAAATACTAGTGAAATATTTAATAAACTATTGTTCAAATATATTTTGATTATGGTGTAAAAAAAAAAAAAAATACACAAGATTTAGTGAAATTCATGAATAATTTCATAACTATTTCAGATAATTATTAGAATTAAAAAACTATCCACATACTTTTAAGCAGCAATGTATACACGCGCGAAATACGCCAAGGCATAATTGTATAAAGATTCTAAGTTTGACCACGTTGCAGCGACAGGGTTATGAACTATGCAACGTTATTTTTCTTTAAATTGTGCTCGGAATGCATAAAGATTAAAAACCGCTGATGTAAAAGTCGGTAAATAAACAGAAAACGAGTCATGTTTGTGCAACAAGTTTCAATGAACCAGAAGCGAAAATCATTCCCTAGATAACGTTGAAATCCTAATTCCCGTAGCGTCAACCGAGTCGACAAAGGCGTTGCAGACCGTGACTTCGATGACAGGAGCCATCGTGCCGGATACACCCCTGGTGACCACTCTGCACTATTACCCTCATGCACCTGCATTGGTCCAAATTAGTCAAGCAGCGCCGATGCACTGCAGATCACAGGTAAGTCAGTTTTTGCTACTATTCGTTCTCGTTCTCTGACGTTCCTCTTTCTTCGTCACTCCCTAGGGATGTTCGATTCTGAATTTTCTACAACATCGATTTTTCTTGAAGTGATTATCAATTGCGTTTTTATTTTATTCGTGTGCGTATAATTTTTGCACGATTCGGTCCTTTTAGCTAAGAATCTTCGATTCGTTCATCCTAAAAAGAAACGCAAATGACCATGATTTTATATCAAGTTTTTACCATGTTTTTCCCCTGAATCTATTACGTTTTCTCATTAAACATTTTTGAAGAATTATTGGAAAGTATATAGAGTTATTCAATTCCTTAATTTTGCAGTTTATTCTGCTTTTTCTATTACAGCCTTGTGCTTAATTTACTTATAACTATTAACATATAAACAATTTTGCATATAATAATTAATATTTCCAGACAATAATTTGTCGGAATAAATGTTACTCTGGAATGTTGCGACATAAAAGCAAATTTACGATTACTTCAATTGTTTCTGACACATTTTTCAGAAAAACTTCCAACTTTTTTTCTGCAGCATTGGTTAGCTCAAGTAGTTGATTGCATTTATTACATAATTATTCCTCCATTTTTAATCACTACATAGTTACATTCTTCTGAAACGGAAACATACTAATATTTCTAACAGATAGAATTATTTATCTTGTATAAACACTATAAATGAATGAACTGAAAATTCAAATTTAATGGGAGTCTCAAATATCCCCAGAAGTTTGCTTTCTAAGAATAAGTATTTTCAAATGTTTGCAACATTATTATTATTAAATTCATTACCATTGAATAAATTTGGCGAAAAGTAATGATTAATTTTATATAATACTTATCACTTTATCAGTCAATTTATTTTTGCTGGTTCCATCAGTCACCTAGGTTCATTTTGTCCGAACCTTTCCATGAATTTAAAAAAATTCAATATCACTCTTTGATATATTTAGTATAATATCAAATAATTCTTTTAAGTTATAACACTTAAATCTACAGTTTTTCTATTAAATGTATCTAGTTTGCTTAATCTTTTTTCTTTTGTAACATCTAAAATATGAACATGCAGATCAAATTTACAAATTTAAAAATACACTTGAGGTATAAAGAGGTCTTTATACTCGGAGCTATTTCATTACAAATTATGCAAATAGAAACACGTCATATTAAGTAGTGTAACTTTAGATCCATATTATTTATTGTTATGATATTTAGTTTGTATGGATTGTTAGACGCCGAAGATTATATTTATGACAAGAAATCAAAATTTTATATCTTATAATATAATAAATAGTTATTGATATACACTGAAAGTGCCCTTCTTTTAGGCTTCTCAAATTGCACTATGTCATACAAAGTATACTCGTGCACCTATCTTTCTTATACAAATGATGCTTACTGCTTTTTTACCGTGTTGACACCACTGCAAATATGTAATATTTCACACGTTCTCTTTCTACATAACACCGGCTTATATTTTGTTATACAGGGAGAGTCAATAAGAATTGTCACCTGAATTCGTTATTTATTCATCTTATCAAAAAATGATTCAAATAAAATTTATTATATTTGAGAGGTGTACTTTTATCAATTAACAATCCAAGTAACATTAAAGTTAAATGGTACCGTTTTTGCATCGCATTGAAGATACGAATTCAACAACCTATAATGTAACCTTCAATTGACCTTGAATCCCAAGACCTTGAAGCTCTATCGTAAATACTAAATTTCATTTAAAATATTTTTTAATAAGGTGAATAAATAACGAGTAATTTTAGGTGTGAATTCTTATTGACTTACTCCGCGATAAGTACCACATTTCTATCTATCTTTCCGTGCCATTTGAATGGAGAACCTCAAGGAAGTATATATTTTTTTTTGTTAAATTTACGCTTCCGTAAGTTCATCCTTGTATAACCACTAACGAAGTTTGCGAGACTTATGATGTCCCTTCAAAGTGGTCATTTAAGTGCAAGGGATTAGTAAAAGTAAAAAATCAATTTTTCGAATCAATTTCTAAGAGATTGCTTTCGACACGATTTTACAGCGAATATAGTCATTTCGAATGCGAATCGCTTATGAAATCGATTTTTTCTAAGAATCAAACATCCCTAGATGGTTCCATCAAATTTCTGGTGTGAGAGAGAGGAGCCCAACCGACGTAAACGAAGAGAAGGGACGACAGTAATTATGCCAGGCTCAGGGCGCGGCCCGGCCGTTCGCATAATGCGGAAACGTTGTGGCACATTGTATTAATCATGCGCAAACCGATTTGCATCGCTATCTGCATAGATATTACGAACCGGCACGCTGGTAGACCCCGCAATGCTGGTGACGTTGAACGTTTCCTGTCGGCTTGTTTGTCGCGCACTCCTGTTCGATCTTTGTCTTCCTTTTGCGCTACATTTTCTCGTTGACCCTCGCATGTTTTCACTTTCCCCGTTTCCTCCGGCTTTTCTTTTGTCCTGCTGCTCCCTTTGTACCCTCTTTCTCTCACTTCTCATTCACTTGTTGCGATTTGTTCCGTTATTCTCTTTTTTACCGTGGGTCAAGGCATGGCTTGGGTTTCTTGAGCGATAAAAGGGGTCGTTTTCGGGAACTTGTATTTTGGTAACTAATTATCGCATTAAATTCGAATGTGGTACCTCTGTTTATTAATATTCGAGTTATCAATCTATGTAATTGTATAATTGTTTATGCAAATTTATATTTTTATGTATACAGACAAAACATCGAAATCTAAATGAGAGTATCTATTATCTTTTAAACACTGTAGCGTGTATTTTATTGTTTATATTTTATACATTTTTGCATTTGTGCACAATCTCATACATTTTTACAATTTAATTATATATTATATATTAAATATTTATGAATATTGCCAATTATTGGTACTAAAATTATTTAAATAAATACAAAAATAAGAAAGTGAAGTCTAGAATCCACAATACAAGAACATAAATTCCTAATCAAAATAACAATATTTTGAGAGCATAAGCTGCAAAATGCGAAGAAAATGTGCATATAAAACAAAATAAAGAAGAAATACATAACTAAATAAGGAACGAATATAAAAATAACAATACATACAAATATAAAATAATTTTTGTTTCTAAATAAATTGTTTTTACAGCAGTCAATAACACTATGAAAGAATCATACTTACATTCTTAACATTCTCTTCATATCATGATAATAAGTACGAGTTCATGGGTGTACAATGTACATATGTTTATACGAACTTTTTTAAAATTATTATTGTATGTTAAACTCACCTTTGAAATTATACCCACATTTTCGTCCAATATCTCTTGTAATTCTTCAATGCGACACAAATGCATTAATGAAGCATGAATATCAAAATTTGTAGGATCGATCAATAATATAAATATACATATAAACATGAATGTCAATTTCGCGTCAGATTTCTTGTGAAACGTTTTCCTTGTCAAAACGTGGACCAAACGTTTAATAAACGATAATTTCCGGCTGATTAAACCTACGAATAACGAGTGGATGAGGTAAGCGTTCGACGTTCGATTTATTCACTTTTAAATTGAGCAACTTAAATTTTCTGTGAATACGATTAGCATTAATTTATAAAGCAAAGGGAAATGAGATTTTTCTTATTAACGAAGAAAGATAGAAGTTGATTTCATAAAATCGGAAGGAAATTATTCAACAAGTTAATATTCTTCACTTTTAGTTTGCCATTCGAGAACATTAAGACGCTTCGGTTGTTAAATATTCCTCATAGATTACAATGCATACAGTCTTTTTTCTTCGTCTTTTATCTTATTTATTCGCGTCTTTCCCTTCTTTTATTCCTTACTTCTTTTTTCATCCATCGAATCCCTTTCACGACCTCTGCGTTGAAAGCTACTTCTTTTCAATTTTCTACGTCAGTTTCCTTTAAGGAATAATGGTTATTGTGGTACACTCCGATAAGCTTTTTTGTAACCTGTTTTTGGCCGTACAATGTTTTTGCTCGATTGTCGATAATCGATCGTCGTCGTGCAGGTGTATAAAAATATGCATGAGCAAACACACCATCTCTATTTTAAGGACCATTATGATACGACTAAAATGTCCGTACAAAGCATACATGACAAAATTCTTATTCAGATAAAAATGGCAAGTAACGAGTACAAGGTAACTTAAAAACGAAAAGAAATACTGAAGATACAAATGAAGGTTGAGAATTGAGATACAAAAATAAATATTTTCCCATGAACAAATAACAATTTTAAAATACAAGATGAATCATGTATATCTGGACCTCAGAGATAAACTATGATACAAAATCAAACTTTTCTATTGCGATTAGAGGCAATAGATTTTTTTAACAAAATTGAAAGTTGAAAGTTTCAGCCGTCACAGGAAAAAAAATGTAATATCATATTCGTAAAATAAACTTATCAAATAGTAAAATAGTAGAATCAATTTTACTTAATTAAATAATTTGTTTAATTGTTCAATAAAAATACTTAACTATTTGATTGAATAAATGTTGTAAATAAATTGCAATACGATAAGTGCGTTCGTACAGATCCAAAGGTACAGATATACATGATTCAGTCGTTATTTGTTATCTCAGTAAAATTTTACACATCTTTACTTACTTCTTCCATTAGCCAAATCGACTCCTTCGTTGACGTTACCTTAAGTAGGGGTTTTATTTAACGCTTCGCGAATTAGATGCACTAATTCTTTGCTTGGTCTTTGGACCATTAACTTTTAGCGCTATGCGTACAAATTTTAATAAAGTTGGACAAAATAGCCGCCCTAAAACCAATTACATATGAAAAAAGCGATAAAAACTTCAAAGTGAACACACGTGATATAAATCGTATCATTACCGTAGTTATATTTTTTGGATTTATCAGCTGATGTTAAGATGTCGATACTACTTTTTTATTATTCATACAATTCACAGTTATATAAAGTATAATTTCAAGGATAACGCGGAAATATATAACAATGTCTAAATTTTTACATTTTGCTGTACATGTCATCGCTGAACACGTATTCTGTACTGCATGTCTACTTGAAAGTTTTATTCTTGACAATCATCATTGACATTAAAGCGTCTGCTTAGTTTGCAGCTCTAAGACATAATATATTTTATTCTGGTTATTTCAAATAAAAAATAAAAGTGATTCTTAGTCTATGTTACTTAACTAATAAATTAAAGTAATTGTAGTATGTTAAAGAAAAAAGTCGATTTCTCAGAGAAATATGTAGTATCTCTTCAAATTGTGAAGGTAGAAGAATATATTCTTTTTACGGCGTATTACCAAAAATGTGGGATTTTTTTCCAAGACTAATTACTTATGTTAATACGAATCGAAAAATCTTTTTCCATTTTACTATCTAAATTTCGTTATTTATATATAAACTGTTAATGTTATTTTCTTAATGAACGTGTGGATACGTGTTTCTCTTTGGTGAATGCGTATGCGCGAAGCACAATTAACTGATCAGGCTATAAATGACACGCATTAAGACTTTTGAGTCACATCGGTAAACTTTAATTGCTTATGTTTAGAAAACAGTGGTTCAGGTTGCAAGAAAATGGGAAAGGAATCTGTAATTTCTTGATACGAGAAATAATCCTAGAAGAAGGTCCTACATTTTTGTTTATACTCTGTGCATAAAATTCCAAGTAAACGGGTGCATTGAATCCCAAGATTTATGCCAACCATCTTGACAAAATTCTAGGTTGAAATAAATATCTTTAAAACTTAAGAGTTCACTTGAAGCTTCTATAATATCGTCAATTTTTCAAATTTCACTATAATCTTATTAGCATAATGTCTTGAGATTTGATTACTTTCAAACTAAGCAGACCACTGTAAAACTCTTTTAAATATGGACGCAAGAGTGTTTGTATGGTAGCAGATATTTCAGCACTTCCGTGTCCTTCCAAATTCGTTTTCGTCAAACAGCTGTCAAGGTAAATTTGTCGATTTTAAGTGCTCGACAGCATCGAAAGAACTCTTTTTCAGTGCTATCTGCTAGAAAATTTTGCTTTCGATGCAACTGTTAGAGATAAAAATATCAAATGGACATGCACTACCATAGTCTGTGTCAAGACAACTGAACCTTCAAAGACATCTCTGTCTATATCGTTGCTTCTGTTTTGATTCGTAAGCAAATTCAAGAAACAAAAGAGACAGCACTTTAGGCACAAATGTCCTTGAAGGTTTAGTCAACTTGGGAAGGACTATTAGCTTCGATTCAGAAACAGTTCATCGATAGTCGTCTTCGCGCGCACTAACACAGCTCTTATCAAGACAATTGAACCTCCAAGTACACTTTCGTCTACACCGTTGTTTCTGTTGTTTCACGGGTGGAACGCCGCGAGACGAAAGAGACAGCGCTGTAAGTACAGGTGTTCTTGAAGGTTTAGTCGACTTCACAAGGACTGTAGCTCCGATTCAGAGACAGTTCACTAATAGTTGCCCTCGTTATTTCGTCCAACTTTATTGAAATTCACCGCTGCTTAACGCCCCAGTATTTGACCCTCGAATATCCTGCGTGCAGCAGCGAAATTCGTTTTTGTCGAAGGCGACCTCTCCCGTGTCGTGTCTGACGCCGCCACCCGAGGTGACGACGATCCACGCGATCGAGCCACCTGAAGTGGCGCCGATGGTCGGCGTCCAAGACGCTTCGAACCAGACCGACGCCCCGGAGCCAGACGACCAGGAGCCGCCGCAGGTGGATGCGTGCGTGAAACAGGAACAGAACCTGAGTCCCTGCCAGCTACAGAATCCGACCAATCTGACCACTACCACCACCAACATGACGAACATGACCAACTTCGAGATCGTGGCTGCCTCGCCGGAGAAGGTGTGCAATGTCGTACGAATAACGACCACCACGACCACCGTGAACCCTGCCGTCTGCGGCTTCGTCGGCAAGGTGGACAAGGCCGAAAACACAATCATCAACATGGCCGATTGTCCGAAATACTCTATCACGAAGGAGTGCAGGAGCGTCACGGCGATCGACAGAACCATCGAGCACGTGGTGGCTAGACAGATGGACAGGGAACACGACGACAGGGGACACCCGGACGAGGAGCACGACGAGTTGTTCGCGGAGGACGGTTTGTCTCGCAGGGACATCAGAAACGGACCAAGGATCATCGAAATCACCGAGGAAAATTGCGACAGCTTCCACGAGAATCTCGAGTTCTTTGGAAGAAGGAGAGATCACTCGTTAGACCGTCATCGAGACAGGAAGAGAAGCTACGTCGCAGAGTCTGCCGCCGGTGAACAGGACCACGAGGATAACGCGGCTGCTGCTGAGAAGAGCGAGGTAAGGATCGAATAAATATTCACTCTTTATTCGTTAAGTTTGAGAAATACGTAATCCTCGAGAACTCGGGATGAGAGGATGTGTAGTGCGTAACATAAAGATATAGGTTTAAAGGCAAGTGTACTCGACTGAAAGTTTCTAAGCTGATTTATCTATGATCATCTTAATAACAACTTTTACAACTGCGTTACGTATTTTTATACTTTATCTACTTTATTACCGAAGTTCAAGTATTGGGTCGGAAAGAAAATACCCGCAGAAATTCTTTCGCATTATTTCATATCATTTTTTATGTAATATTTGTTTTTATTAACCGAACAAATGGTTTATGGCTAGATTGCGAATGTTTATGCATATACGTCAAATGGAGATATATAAAAATCTATAAGAAATAAATAATAAATAATATAAATGCAAAAATATGCAGTCAGTGTAATAAGTATTCGTACAAGAACCAATTCAAAATAAAACTTCATATATTTATTTTATGAATAAATTTCAGGGGAAGAAATAATTAATCAACATTCCTACATATTTTTACAGCAGATTTTGCGTAAATTAAAGTTTATTACTTTTAATGTTAACCTTTTATTTCTTTTCTTAAATTG